TAAATTTATGTTTTAAGACAAAATATAAATGATATAATTAATTTGTTTATCAAAAAGTTAAAATAAATAACTATATAATACCTACTTAAGTAAATATTTAAAAATAGTTATTCGTACATAATAATATTATATTAGTTGTCATGCCGATAACGCATTGATTAACCACCAGAGAGCGTAGTTTTTGATACTATGCACAGTGTCTATAGTATGCTTTTAACGTGTCTCTTAAAATGGACATTGGGACACAACGTTCGTATTTCATAATCGTCACTTCGTTATTTTGTCGTACTACCGCATGTCTGTACTACCGTACGCCCGTATAATAATATTATTGTTATTATGCCATCGTATTTAGTATTTTATTATTTATTTTATTCAAAATGGCTAGAGGGTTACGTGAACATGAAATTTTTGATTTATTGGGTGATGGTAATATATCAGAATTAGATTTTTCGGACGAAGAAATGGAAGATCAGTTCGACAATGAAGAACTGCAACAATTATTAAATGGTTTTGAACAATGGGAAGACCAAGACGAGCTGAATGAAACAGAAAGTGAGATAATTTTCAACCAGACTAGTATTAGTTTTAATGTAACTGAAAAAAAAAATATAAAGTGGGATAGAGTTCCTTTTTGTCCACCTGAATTAAAATTAAAAGATTTAGAGGAAAGAATTTATCTACCAGAAATGCCTTCTATAACTGATTATTTTTATGAATATTTGAATGATGATATATTTGAAAAAATTGTGTATTATACTAATTTATATGCCATTCAAAATTCCCAAACTAGATATAAACCCACCAATTTTAATGAAATAAAAAAGTTCATTGGGATTCATTTGATAATGGGCTGTCTAAAATAACCGCGTGTTCGTTCATATTGGGAAAATGCTACTGCTGTGAATATTATTATTGAAAATATGTCCAGAGATCGATTTTTCACATTACGTAGAAATTTTCATTTAATCGATAATACAGAAATTCCAAAAAATAATACAGATAAATTTATAAAAGTTCGTCCTTTATATGACGCAATTAATAAAAAATGTAATAGTTTGCCGGTTGAAAGAAGGTTAAGTGTCGATGAACAATTGGTTCCCTATAAAGGACATTTGCAAATGAAGCAATATGTAAAAGGTAAACCCTGTCCGTGGGGTATAAAAGCATTTTTGTTATGTGGTGAAAGTGGTATGGTTTACAACATACTACTTTATCAAGGGGCTACCACTGAACTAGATACAAGTACACAAAAACAATTTGGTGCATTTAACAAAACACCTTGAAAAAAATAGGCATTTCCTTTTTTTTGATAATTTTTTTTCAACGTTTAATTTATTTGAACAGTTGCAAGCTAACCAAATATACTCTGTTGGTACTATTCGTACAAATAGATTCACAAATCCACCTTTATTAACCGATAAACAATTAGCCAAAATGGGAAGAGGTACAGCCTTTGAAATTTCAACTAATATRGAGAATTGTAATTTATGTATGGTGAAATGGTATGATACAAGGTCTGTTACCTTAGTTTCCAATTATATAGGGTCCGGACAGTCTGACTAAGTACTTCAGAGAAGTCAAGAGAAAGTCAAAGAGAAGTCTGTCTTAGAATACAGAAAAGCAACATTTTTTTGAGAKAGAAAATTAAATACATTTAATACAAAGGCATTTAAAACCCATTCAATTTTAAAGTTTTAATATTTATACATTTTTTAATTGTGTCATATAAATGTATAAGTATCAAATTAGTTGTGAGTGTAAAATATTTTTGGAAGGTATTTATTTCGGTTGTGTAATCGTACAACGTAGATACGAAAATTAGCTAAATCTTTTTTCCTTTATAAATTTTGCATCTTGGGCGAGTTCAAATTGAACTGCGGCTATGCTGTGCATAAGTAATACATTTTACATTTAAATTCAGCCCACATTTTAATGTGCTGAAAAGATATGCACTCGTTTAATATGCATTGCAAATGTGTGTATACGATGTAACAACTCAAAAATGGCTTTAAAGTTCACATTTTCCACAAAGTGTTCATAACTTCTATTAAAGTTGTACAATTTATGTTCCCGCCTTCATACGTTAAAATTGTTCTACAAAAAAACTGCGCAGCAGTACGATTTCCATCGAAAGCTTAAAATGTTGATATATTGTAATTTGACAGATAGTTATGTAGTATAGCTCAGGGATGGCAAACCTTTTGAACACTGCGTGCCCAAAAT